TGAAACCATTCATTTTGAACAACAAAGGGCGATTAATCAAGTCCAACAAAGGGTTTTACAACAAGCATTACAAGGAGCTCTGGGAACTCTGAATAGGTGCTTAAACAACGAGTTACATTTACGTATGATCGCTGCTAATATTGGTATGTTTGGGGCGATCAAAGAAAAAAATAACTAATTAGTGGTTCTACTATAATAGAGAGTATGGAGAGGCCCTATTTTTGTTTTTTTTCGAAAAAGAATCCAATTAATAAAAATATTCATGGTACCCATTCGTGCAGATGAAATTAGTCAAATTATCCGTGAACGGATTGAGCAATATAATACCGAAGTAAAAATTGTAAATACAGGTACCGTACTTCAAGTAGGCGATGGCATTGCTCGTATTTATGGTCTTGATGAAGTAATGGCAGGTGAATTAGTAGAATTTAAAGAGGGTACAGTAGGCATTGCTTTGAATTTGGAATCCAAAAATGTTGGTGTTGTATTAATGGGTGATGGTTTGATGATACAAGAGGGAAGTTCCGTAAAAGCAACAGGAATAATTGCTCAGATACCAGTAAGTGAGGGTTATTTGGGTCGTGTTGTAAATGCCCTAGCTAAACCTATTGACGGTCGAGGAGAAATTTCAGCTTCGGAATCTCGGTTAATTGAATCTCCCGCTCCCGGTATTATTTCCAGACGTTCCGTGTATGAGCCTCTTCAAACGGGACTTATTGCTATTGATTCTATGATCCCTATAGGGCGTGGCCAGCGAGAATTGATTATTGGGGACAGACAAACAGGTAAAACAGCAGTAGCTACAGATACGATTCTCAATCAACAGGGACAAAATGTAGTATGTGTTTATGTAGCTATTGGTCAAAAAGCATCTTCTGTGGCTCAAGTAGTAACTACTTTACAAGAAAGAGGAGCAATGGAATACACTATTATAGTGGCTGAAACAGCAAATTCCCCAGCTACATTACAATACCTCGCGCCTTATACAGGCGCAGCTCTGGCTGAATATTTTATGTACCGTGAACGTCACACTTTAATCATTTATGATGATCCCTCCAAACAAGCACAGGCTTATCGCCAAATGTCTCTTCTATTACGAAGACCACCAGGTCGCGAAGCTTATCCCGGAGATGTTTTTTATTTACATTCGCGTCTTTTGGAAAGAGCCGCGAAATTAAGTTGTCAGTTAGGTGAAGGAAGTATGACTGCTTTACCAATAGTTGAGACCCAAGCCGGAGATGTTTCAGCTTATATTCCTACGAATGTCATTTCCATTACAGATGGTCAAATATTCTTATCTGCCGATTTATTCAATGCTGGGATCAGACCCGCAATTAATGTGGGTCTTTCCGTTTCCAGAGTTGGATCGGCGGCTCAAATAAAAGCCATGAAACAAGTCGCTGGTAAATTAAAATTGGAATTAGCACAATTCGCAGAATTAGAAGCTTTTGCACAATTCTCTACCGATCTTGAGAAAACTACGCAAAATCAATTGGCAAGAGGTCAACGATTGCGCGAGTTGCTTAAACAATCCCAATCATCTCCTATTACTGTGGAAGAACAGATAATAACTATTTATACTGGAACGAATAGTTATCTTGATTCATTAGAAATTCAACAGGTAAGGAAATTTCTCGTTAAGTTACGGGCTTATTTAAAAACGAATAAACCGAAATTCAACGAAATCATATCTTCGACCAAGACATTTACTGGGGAAGCAGAAGCCATTTTGAAGGAAGCTATTCAGGAACAGATGGAACTCTTTTTACTTCAGGAACAAGTAGAAAAAAATTGATTCCAAATTTCATACCTTTCTAGATAATTAGTCTCTTTCCATATTTCAAAAAGAATAATAAAGAGAAGAAATTCACAATATAGTTTTCGAAATATACGAATTCAAGTAATATATATGCAATTGCAATAAATTCAATATGTAATAAATTTGCGTCCAATAGGATTCGAACCTATACCAAAGGTTTAGAAGACCTCTGTCCTATCCATTAGACAATGGACGCTTTTCTTTTTTTCTTTCCCTTTTCACGAAAATTTCGTGAAAAGGGAAAGAAAAAAAAGAATTCTATAAAATACTCCTCCATCTATCTGAATATCGAAATAATAATTATTCTAAATTCTAAATAGAATAAGACGAAATGAAATCATTCCAATTGAATATTCATAACTAAAACTAACTAAAGAAATTTACTAAATAAAAAATAGAATAGAATATATAGAGAAATAGAATATAAGCGGGTAGCGGGAATCGAACCCGCATCATTAGCTTGGAAGGCTAAGGGTTATAGTCGACGTTTATGAATGAACGTCTCTAATTCAAAACCGAACGTGAAACTTTTGTTTCATTCAGCTCCTTTACAGAATAATTTTAGAGATAGATGGAATACATGAAAAAAAAATGACCCATAACATCTATGTCAGCCTTTCGGTATGAATAGAATTCACGTTGCTTTTTAGATGATCCCTATAGAAAGAAAAGGAGTATTTGAACAATCTCTTTTTTTTCTAGTTACTTCGTTCTCTATTTCTATTTGATAGAATCTTTAGGAAAAGAATAAAATTTCCGTCGAGCTAAAAAAATATATTGATGTTTCTAGTAAACTAAAAAAATCGTTTAATAGCTATTTTGCTTCACTCTCTCCTATACAAAAAAAATAAAAAAAAATGGGAAGATTTAGTTACGATTGGAAACTAATTTTAGATATCTTTCTCCCTGGATCCTTTACTTATATTCAAAAATTGGGATTCTTGTGCAAAAACTTATGTTTCATAATTTTAGAATAAATTCTAAATTGTATACAAATTACGATAATGTATATTATTCCTCGAATTGCTCGTTGAGAGGTATAAAGGATGAAATCCCTAAAAGTAAGAAATAAAGTTTTTGATCGTGATATGAATCACGAAAGGGACCCCTTAACTATTAAGGGATCGTTAGAACGAATCGCACTTTTACCACTAAACTATACCCGCTACAATACCATTTTTGTATATAAAAAGATCTTTTGTCGAACAAGGGAATCAGTCATAAATAATTCTGAAATAGGTGCAGAATTTTATGATAAATAGAGTGTTTACATGTTTCGTAAAGGCCCCCTAATGAAATTTAGAAAAGGGGGCAAATCTCATTTTTGGATTTTATTTTTGGATTTTGTTGAAGGTATTTTGACAGATAGATCTCGACAAAATTACTAAACTAAATTCATAACACAAAAATGCATTATGCAATGCAAGAATCCATAGTTCTATTTCGTTTTTTAGATACGTTACCTGATTCATTCGTATGAGATACGATCACAAAGTTATTTTTATTTTTGTTTGATCATATTAAAATGTTTGAATTAATTAAAAGTTTGTTTCAAATCTGATACAGAAAAATAAATCGTTGTTATCCAGGATTCATGGGAAAAAAGAGCTGTGCCAGTACCTAGCTGGACTCTGGTTGGATAAAAAAACAAACTAAAAAAGAAAATATAAAATTATAGATTTAGATTATCTATTTAGTATAATGATTTATATCTATTTAGTATAATTATTTATTACTATCGTATTTAGTATATATATATACAATTAATATATAACTCAATCTATATTTATGAGTTAATATAGAATTAGAATCAAATAGAAAAAAGATAGATAAAATATATCAAATGAAGATCCATATCAAATAAATATTGAAGCCTTTTTTCGAGCCCTGCGAGGTATCATAAGCATAATAATTCCATTCTTTGAATTGGGGAGAGATGGCTGAGTGGACTAAAGCGTCGGATTGCTAATCCGTTGTACGCATTTTTGTACCGAGGGTTCGAATCCCTCTCTTTCCGTTTATTGATGATTTGCCATTTTTTTCTTTTGAACTTATGGAATTTCTTTTTTTTATTCCCTGTTTGTTTCATTTTTTACTAGTTCTTTTTGACTAGTTAAAGATCGAAAATAGATAGAAAAACAAAAAATAGTTCAAAATCAAGCACAAGTAAGGGAAAGAAAAAAGATTTTCTTATTCTTCACGTCCGGGATCATTAGATAGAAATCCGAAGATGAAAAGAGAAACAAAGAATATCACTATCGTGTAAACAAATAGTTTTAGAGTAAGCATTACAAAATCTCCAAGATAATTAAAAAAAAAAAACGACAGAGAAAGAGAATAGATTCTCTTCTATTTCATATTATGTTTCCTTAAAAAAGTTCCAATTTGAGTTTTCTAATAAATTCTTACTTTTTTTAGGACATTATTCAAATGAAAGATCTTATCGAAAACTTACAGCAGCTTGCCAAACAAAAGCGAAGAGAAAAAAGAGTAAGGGTATTACTGGCATAAAATCTACAATTGGAGTCAAAAAAGCATAAGCTTCAGGTAATTTCCCCAAGAAAAAACTACTTGAATAAAGGACAGAGTTAATACAGACCAAGCTAAAGATATGAAGCATAAAAAAAAATGTTGTTCTTTAATAAAATGAATTGTATTTTTGCTTTTTTTTTTTTGAATTCTAATTTTTTTATTTTTTATTATCTTACTTATTATTATATATATTCTTATATATATAAGATATGATTTATTATATATATTATTTAATATCCACTTTTTTTTTTATACTTTTATATTAAAAATGAAATCTAAAAGAAAAAAGAAATATGGTCTAACTTGACAAAAGTAAATATCTATATAGAATAACAAATGGGGCGTGGCCAAGTGGTAAGGCAGCGGGTTTTGGTCCCGTTATTCGGAGGTTCGAATCCTCCCGTCCCAGATGATATCGATTCAATTCATCACATTGACATGAATCGATATCATAGGTTTTTCGCCATAAACCAAAAATAAAAAAGGCTGTTCTTGGGTGGGGATATATTGTTCATTCATATAACTTTCAATTACTTATTAATTATTAAATAAATTAATATACGAATTAAAATTAAATTTGATAACTATTCGATAAAAAACAATGACTATTCATTATATAATATTTTAATTTAAAAAGGAATAAAAATCTATGGAAAGACAAGGGTTCAATTCGATGCTGTTTACTAGAGGTATGCTGTTTACTAGAGGTTTAGAATACAGGTGTGGTTTAAGTAAATCAATAGATAGTTTTGGTATAGATAGTTTTGGTCCTATTGATGAAAATAACGGTGGAGACCCATCTAGTTTAACTGATATGCATAATAACATTCATAGCTGGAAGAACAATAGTGAAAATTGTAGTTATAGTCATGGTCATGCTGACTATTCAGCAGATGTGAACAACATACATAATCATAATTTGCTATTTGCAAAAAGTCTATCCGTTTGGGATAGTCATAATAATAGTTATGACATATATTATGCTTATAATGATGATAGTTGGACTTATAACATGAATTGTTGCATTTGGAATTATCTTCGTTCTCAAATCTGGGAGGATATTGACAAATCCAGTGCCAGTTACCGTGATATGGACTTTAAGAGTTACATTTGCGATAGGGGCCAAAATACTAGTGAAAGCCATAGTACAAATATAATAATATTAAGGAACACAAATGCTAGAAATCAGACAGCAGATCCAGATGATGCAGATATATCTGATGGATCAGATATATCAGATCCATTGGAGATAGATCTATCTGATCCATCCGATACAGATTATCGATACGATCCATTTGCTGATACATCAGATATATCAGATCCATTGGAGATAGATCTATCTGATCTATCAGATACAGATTATCCATATTATATGGATGGATCTGATATATCAGATCCATTGGAGATGGATCTATCTGATCCATCAGATACAGATTATCCATATTATATAGATGGATCTGATATATCAGATCCATTGGAGATAGATCTATCTGATCTATCAGATACAGAGGAGGATCTATATGGTATATACGATCTAGATGAGATCTATTATCTGGATGGATCAGATAGATCAGATCCATTGGAGACATTGGAGACATCAGATCTAGATGAGATCTATTATCCGGATGGATCAGATAGATCAGATCCATTGGAGACATTGGAGACATCAGATCCAGATTATATAAATGATCCGGATGGATCAGATAGATCAGATCCATTGGAGATATCTGATACATCAGATACAGATATATGTCAGAAGGATAGTGATGATAATAGCAAAATGGATATGCTGGCTAAAATGAACCAATATAGTCATTTATGGGTTCTATGCGAAACTTGCTCTAGCTTAAATTTTAAACAATTTTTAGTAGCCAAACTGAGTATTTGCGAATACTGTGGTGAGCATCTGAAAATGAGAAGTTCAGATAGAATCGAACTTTTGATTGATCCAGGTACTTGGAATCCTATGGATGAAGACATGGTTTCTCTGGATCCCATTAAATTTGATTCGATTGAAAAAATTCCAATTCTTCAATGGGATCCCATTGCATTCGACTTGATTTTCGTGGATCCTCCCGAGGAAGAGGAAGAGGAAGAAGATCAACCTTATATCGATCGTCTTGATTCTTATCAAGAAAAGACAGGATTACCAGAAGCGGTTCAAACAGGCATAGGTCAACTAAATGGTATTCCTTTAGCAATAGCTGTTATGGATTCTGAGTTTATCGCGGGTAGTATGGGATCCGTAGTGGGTGAGAAAATAACTCGGTTGATCGAATATGCTACCAATCAACTTTTACCTCTAATTATAGTCTGTGCTTCCGGAGGAGCGCGTATGCAAGAAGGAAGTTTGAGCTTAATGCAAATGGCTAAAATTTCTTCTGCGTTATATAATTATCAAATAAATAAAAAGTTATTCTATGTAGCGATACTTACATCTCCGACTACTGGTGGGGTAACCGCTAGTTTTGCGATGTTGGGGGATATCGTTATTGCGGAACCAAACGCAACCATTGCATTTGCGGGTAAAAGAGTGATTGAACAATTGTTGAATGTGGAAGTGCCTGAAGGTTCCCAATCGGCGGACCTTTTATTCGACAAGGGAGTATTGGATTCAGTCGTACCACGTCATTTTTTAAAGCAGTTTTTAACGGAGTTATTTCAGTTCCATGGTTTCGTTCCTTTGACTAAAAATTTGGAAGATTGAATAAAAACAATTTTAAACTTAGTTTTACGTTATTTTGCACTAAGAATCTATTTTTTATTTCCGCCTTTTTGTAACTAGTTTGTAGCTAATACCTTATTTTACACTATTTTATTTAAACTAATTTAGACTAAGAATATATTTTTTATTTCTCCTATTTTGTAACTCTGATATATAGACTATGGATCTAAAAGACTTGAAAAGATTTTTGAAAAACCTGTGGATCTGGAAAAAAAGACACTGTAAAAGATTTTTGAAAAACCTGTGGATCTGGAAAAAAAGACACTGTATTATTATTACAGTGACACATATTTTCCTGCATGGAACTTACCTTTTAAGTATATTAAAAGTAATAGTTCTTCTCCTAGAAAGAAGCCGCCCGTATCCGCCACACATCCTGGTGGATTTATTTATTTTATGTTTTGCGGCCTTTCTTTTTAGGAATATCTTTTTCGTTTTGTTTTTTTATTTCCTTAGAACAATTTTGGATTATTTACTTCAAATGATCCGTGAATTCATTAAGGACGAGACAAACAAAAAAGTTTTATGTTCCTATGTGTCAGAAACTACTTGGATGGACACTATCCCGGGTTTCCAACACGTTTTTTTTCGAATTTTAAGTCATGTCAGTTTTTTCGTGGGATTCTTTTCTCTCTATCGTTTCTATAGCAATCTTACTCGGATGAACATTTTCGATGCACCGATTAAATGGCTCTTTGTGCTACCAAATAAGATTGTTTCTCTGCTTATCACTGCAATTGTCAGTATCCTAAGCGGTATCATGTTTCAATATATTAATTATTGGACTGTAATTGGCGGAACTAATTTTTTCGATAAAAGAAAAGGAGTGCTATATATTACTCGTTACAGACTTCCTATTCCTGGAATAAGTAGCTCTAATGTTCGCCGCATTTTAATAAAAGAAATTTCGTGCCTCATACTAGTAACTAACCGAATCTGGGGTGATGTCCTTTATATTGAAACCAGAAAACACGGGACCTTGCCGATGACTCCTACTAAAGATGGTCGTAGATATATGCTTGCAAAACATGCTTTGGAGTTGTCCAGATTCTTGAATATACCATTGGACATTATTTACAAAGAATACTAATAAAAAAGCGAGTTTAGCCGATCGAGTTTAGCCTATAAAGCGAGTTTAGCCTATAATAATTAATATATTATAGGCTAAACTCGCTTTTTTATTAGTATTTACTTGTAATAGAACTTATGCTTGATAGAAATATTAGAATATATAGAATATTCTAGAGTTGAAAAATGAGATGAAACTGAGGACGAAAAATGGCAAAAAAGAAAGCATTCATTCCCCTTCTATGTCTTACATCTATAGTCTTTTTGCCCTGGTGCATCTCTTTTACATTTAAGAAAAGTCTGGAATCTTGGATTACTAATTGGTGGAATACGAAAGAATCCGAAATTTTCTTGAATACTATTCAAGAAAAAACTATTGTAAAGAAATTCCTAGAGTTCGAGGAACTGTTCCTCTTGGATGAAATGCTAAAGGAATACCCGGAAACACATTTACAAAACCTTCGTATCGAAATCTACAAAGCGACCATCCAATTGATTCAGACGAACAACGAAGATAATATCCATACGATTTTTCATTTCTTTACAAATATAATATGTTTCCTTATTCTAAGTGTTTATTCTATTAGGGGTAATCAAGAACTCATTATTCTTAACTCTTGGGTTCAAGAATTTGTATATAACTTAAGTGACACAATAAAAGCTTTTTCTATTCTTTTCTTAATTGATTTCTCTGTAGGATACCATTCGACTGGTCTTTGGGAACTAATGATTTGGTCTGTCTATAAAGATTTTGGATTTACTCCGAATGATCATATTATATCTTTTCTTGTTTCTATTTTGCCAGCCATTTTAAATATTATTTTTAAATACTGGATTTTCCGTTATTTAAATTGTGTATCTCCGTCGCTTTTATCGATTTATGATTCAATTCCATTCCGTGAATGACTGAAAAAAGGACCCACTGATCCAATTCTAAAATTTGTTTAGCTTTTATATAAAAGCTAAACATTCCAAATTTCACTTATTCATTTTCGTTTTACTCGTATTCTTCCTATATTATAGGCAAATAATTGGAGTAAATAGCAGAATCATGGATAGGGAACTGTGCCAGTTCCCTACCTAATCTTATTGTAGAAATTTTCAGGATCAAGGATTGGACCATGCAAACTAGAAATGCTTTTTCTTGGATAAAGAAAGAGATTACCCGATCTATTTCCGTATTGCTCATGATCCATATAATAACTCGAGCACCCATTTCAAATGCATATCCCATTTTTGCCCAACAAGGTTATGAAAATCCTCGAGAAGCTACCGGCCGGATTGTATGTGCTAATTGCCATTTAGCTAATAAGCCCGTAGATATTGAGGTTCCACAAGCGGTACTTCCCGATACTGTATTTGAAGCAGTTGTGCGAATTCCTTATGATATGCAAGTGAAACAAGTTCTTGCTAATGGTAAAAAGGGGGCTTTGAATGTAGGAGCTATTCTTATTTTACCAGAGGGTTTTGAATTGGCCCCTCCTCATCGTCTTTCGCCCGAGATTAAAGAAAAGATGGGTAATTTGTCTTTTCAAAGCTATCGTCCCACAAAAAAAAATATTCTTGTGATAGGCCCCGTTCCTGGGAAAAAATATAGTGAAATTACCTTTCCTATTCTTTCTCCAGATCCTGCTACTAAGAGAGATGTTTACTTCTTAAAATATCCTCTATACGTAGGCGGGAACAGGGGAAGGGGTCAGATTTATCCCGACGGAAGCAAAAGTAATAATAATGTTTATAATGCTACAGCAACAGGTGTAGTAAACAAAATAATACGAAAAGAAAAAGGTGGATACGAAATAACGATAGTAGATGCATCAGATGGACGTGAAGTGATTGATATTCTACCGCCAGGACCAGAACTTCTTGTTTCAGAGGGTGAATCTATCAAACTTGATCAACCATTAACGAGTAATCCTAATGGGGGTGGATTTGGTCAGGGGGATGCAGAAATAGTGCTTCAAGATCCATTACGTGTCCAAGGTCTCTTGCTCTTCTTGGCATCTATTATTTTGGCACAAATCTTTTTGGTTCTTAAAAAGAAACAATTTGAGAAGGTTCAATTGTTCGAAATGAATTTTTAGGAATTTGAATTAATCAACATATTAAGCTGGTAAAAAGAACTCCATTTTTGTTGATAAATTCTGTAAACACCCTTGGTTCTTTCTAGTTTTTGTAGATATACTATATTTAGAAAATTCCTTGTACCGTAGAATTAGTTCAGTCATAGTATGTATATTGTGAAGAAGACTATTTGGTTCTTGGTTTTTTTTTTTTTCAACTGCACAATTAATTCGAACCATATGATTATGTAGCTGTTTTCGGATTTTAATGTTCTAGAAATCCTCTAATTTCTATTGTTTTAGAATTAACTCGATACTAAACCTAAAAAAATAGGTAGGTACAGAATATTAAGTAAAGTAGAAATAGACAAAGGGAAAACAGGATTCTAGGATGGATAATTTGTCTTTTCCTAGAGTCCTCTTATTGTTTATGTCGAAATAGATAGTGAAGGAATGAAAGCGGGAATTGAATTCACCAAATACAACTTTCTTAATTAACTTAAAAAAAAAAATAGAATCATGAGTCTATATTAGAAATATATTTCTATTCCATTTCCATTCTAAGAAAAAGAAAACTCTTTCTTTGGGGTAATCTATAGTAAAAGAATTGAATAGGCTCTTTTCCAATTGTTTTAGAGAACGAATCGAGATACAATAAGGATTAGATCCGATGGAACGAACAGATGCAAATAAGAGTATGCAAAAGAATCTATCTTGATTCTTTATTTTTTACTTACTAAAATGGGGGGGGAAAGAAAACATAGTTCCTACCTATTAGTAGGATTCATTACCTTACTACTTCTAAGTATATTTTTTATTTATGCTTTCAATTTTTCAATTCTACTCCAAATCGGATAAGAACTTGCTATATGTTCTAATTGGATGTTTCGTCAATGGTGTTAGGACGGAATGGAATCCTTTTTTGACTCTGTACCAGCGATTCCACTATTATTAGAAGATATTCTCCAATTTTTAGTGAAAAACTAAAAGAATACAAGAAAAATAAGTAAACAATAAAAAAAGAATTAATAAAAGAATTTCTTCATATTGATCATATTGATATAGATAGGAGACATAATTGACATGGATATAGTAAGTCTTGCTTGGGCTGCTTTAATGGTAGTTTTTACATTTTCCCTTTCCCTTGTAGTATGGGGAAGAAGTGGACTTTAAAGGTAATACTAATTGAGTTAAGGGATCAAACTGTCTCAATTGTTTTATAGCTGAGTTCTTCCAGTTTTGAACTATTTGAGTTATTTTATTAATACTAATTAATGAAATGCAATTCTATCTGGATTTAGAAATTCTCTTGTATTGCTTCCAGTGGTGTAATATATTCCATGTATATATCTTATTGAAAAAAAAACTCTTTGAATCAAACAAATATTTAAATTGTTGCCATCTTGATATCCCGGGAATCAAGATAATTGGAAACGGATTCCGATTCCATTTAATCTATTTAAATTTTGGAATACTAAAAAGATTCTTTATTTTTATTTATTAGTTACCGGGATTCTGATAAAGAATCTTAAATCTAAAAATGAAACTAAGAAGAATAAAAATGGCGTTGCTTTTGAATTATTTCAGATTGATTGGAACCAATACAAATAGAATAGATTTAGATGAAATAAAGAAAAATGTGGACGCCTACATTCCATATATATCTATAGATCGATATCCATATATCCATATGAAAAGAAAATGATAAATTGGTTCCTCCATAGGAACTCTTTTTTTTTTAGTAAAACATTCTATTTTTATCCTACTCCTACCATAATAGAGAATATAGTAGAAAGAAATAGATTTGATTTCTTTCTACTATATGGTTAATAGAATTCTGCTGGTTGTAGTCTGATCATTTTATTTAAAACAAAGATTAAAAGAAATAGAAATCCTTTTTTCATGTTTTTCTTCAATCATTGCTAAGAAATAAGAAGTCATGTTTCAGTAAAATTAGTCACTTTGACTTACCGTTTTTACATAAATTATAAGTAAAAAGGCAGTAGGAACTAGAATAAAGAGTGCAGTAGCTATAAATGCGAGAATATTTACTTCCATAATCTCTATGTTTTCTTTCTCTTTAATTTCTAATAAATACTTCGGGATTTAATCCCATAGAAATAAAAAATATTTCTTCACTAAATTCAATGGTATAAATAGGATCTCGATGATATCCAATCGGATCCATATCACGAATAACTATATGTGATCTATCAAATCAAGAATTCATGGTCGAGAATTGAATAGTATAACATCGGAAGATGTTTTATCCATACCAAATAAGAAAATGACTTTCTGATGCAATCCAAAAGTCCTTTTTCTTTGTCCCAACCTTTCCCTAAAACTAAAAAAGAAAAAAGGGGATACCCGTTAGAAATGATATTTTTTTTTTATTTTTATTCCCTTTCATACACTAAATCCATTGATATTTTTTGGATTTGTATCCATCGGGACTGACGGGACTCGAACCCGCAGCTTCCGCCTTGACAGGGCGGTGCTCTGACCAATTGAACTACAATCCCAGGGAAAAAGTCGTATAGTATACATATATATTCTTACAATTTCATCCAAATTCTTTGTTTTTCTATTTGAGATTCGAACCCCTGGGGCTTACTTCTATATATATTCCTATTTGGATGGGTCTGCACTTTATCGACACGGATGACTCGCATCGCAATCCGTTCGTTATTGCCAACTTGATTTAAAAATAAATCAATCAAGAAATCAAGGAAACAAAAAAGAGTCTTTTTTGTTTTTTAACTTTAACCCTTTCCTTAGACTTTAAACTTACAGATCCCGATAGGAATTTTGCAAAATCCTAATTTGTGGAAAAAATATGTAAGTAATATGGAAAAAACACATAGGACTCGAGATTCTAATCTTGTGTATCCGAACCCATTGGTGATTTTAAGAGAACACCAAATGGGGTCTATCATTTCATGGTGGATCCGTAAATATTTTATTTTTGGGCCGAGCTGGATTTGAACCAGCGTAGACATATTGCCAACGAATTTACAGTCCGTCCCCATTAACCGCTCGGGCATCGACCCAGCAGGAAGAATCCAATTTAGTCTTTATTGATAATCCCTGATCCATTTCCTTTCGTAGTATCCTACCCCCAGGGGAAGTCGAATCCCCGTTGCCTCCTTGAAAGAGAGATGTCCTAAACCGCTAGACGATGGGGGCAGCCTTGCCCGACCTCCATTCTACTATGTTCATAGTATGAACAGTTTTTTGAAATTGTCAATAGAATGATTCAATCAGAAGGATCTTCCCATCTTTCAGAATTCCTTACAATTTTTGGATTCACCCTTTCGATTTCGAAATGGTTCATTCCAATCACCAATCTAGAATTCAACAAAATACAAAATAAAACGAAGTAATGCGAAAGAAACCAAAATAAACATAGAATCCTTTCTGGAAATAATTGATTTGCTGGAACAGGGGGGCATTAACACCTTATTTCGTTCACTTTCATTCAGTGTTAAGAAGATTGAATTAGGTATATTTCTATTTCACACTAAGTAGGGAAATAAAAAAATGAGAATGAATCCGGAAATGGAGTAAAATAAAAAAGGATGAAGATCAATAAGAATTGAGTTAAGGGACAGGATAGAATCCATTTATCAAAGATTCGGAAATATTTGAAATAGATGTACTCAACTCATATTCATATTCATATTCATATTGGCTGATTCTGTATTCGGGAATTGACTCAAACGGCGCCCTTTTAACTCAGCGGTAGAGTAACGCCATGGTAAGGCGTAAGTCATCGGTTCAAATCTGATAAAGGGCTTTTTTTTTATCAAAAAATGATAACAGTAGTATTTCTATTTGAAGAAAGATATACAAATATTCTTGATATTTGTAAGAAGTTTCTGTTTGTAATAAAATAAAAAAAACTAATGAATAGTTGAATTTCATTATAAAAAATCCAATTTAGAATTTAAATTCTATTAAGTTATTGTTATCATTCGAATAGAGTAAACTCATTCTAGTTAGAAAGGGAAATAGTATTCTTTTCTATATATATTTCTTTTTTTAGAATCTGATATTTTCTTTGCTTTAATTGTCATATACTCCTATTTTGGATTCTTCCAATCCAATAAAGGGAAAGATTCTAAAAAAAGTAAGTGGACCTAACCTATTGAATCAGAACTATATCCACTATTCTGATATTCCAATTGGTGGATAGAAATGAAATTCGAACAGTGTATCTTTTTTTCTTTTTAATACCCTTTTGGTTCGAACTCTGCAAGAATCCGTCTATATTTCGGATAATATCTTATTGTTCCTAGGAATCAATTGCTACTCCTCTCCTCCAATGGGAGGGCTTATTCTAAGTTCCAACAGACAAGTCATTTGACTTCCAAATATCTTTTTTCCGAATACAAGAAAAGATCAAAATTGATTTCTATTATTTCTTTAAGATAGGTCTATAAAAATAGAAGATATGTCTATAAAAAGAATAGAAAAATCCATCCAATCATGACTTCGAGTATCAAACATTTGGTTTTCATATCTATGATGCATACGAGATTTTGAAGGCAATTATTGGACGAAACTTTCAGTTAGAATCTATTATTATTAATCCAATTCCCTAGAATATTCAAAAATAGGACAGATAGATAAAAAAATAAATAGAGAAAAAGAGTCCAATTTATTACCTCGATCCGCAAGTAAAGGGTATACGTCGGAATTAGATTAATCTGAATGACAGAAAAATAGAACAAAGAATACAATAAAAGAAATCAATGTAAAATAGAAAGTAAAAATAGTAAAATAGAAAGTAAAAATAGGATCCTCTAGTAGTTTTCTAGACATACAAATTCGAATAATATAGAAAACTATTTTTTTTTTTTAATTTCACGAACAAGATTCAAAAAGAATCTTATTTGATAAAAGCAGAGTAGTATGTCTGGGGATCCGCTGGTAACGAGAGTAATAAAAGCGATCGATCATTTGTTTTTGGAATAGTTCTTTAAAAAATGTATTTCTAGGATTTATGAGTCATAAGACAATTTTCGAGTCATGACTTAGGGAATTTTGTTAGAATAGAAAGGAATAAGCCAATTAATTAAGTTAATGGATTTATTAGATATCAATGGACAAAAAAAGAATTTTTCTATTCGAACCCCAGTAGAAAAGAAGGGACAGTCTACGAGAAATCATATTCTATATAAAATGAAAAAAGCCTCGAAGGTTCCATCGTTGAAAATCCTAGGAGGTGTTCGGAAATGGTTTGAAGTAGTTGAATAGGAGGATTACTATGACTATAGCTCTTGGTAAATTTACCAAAGATCAAAATGATTTATTTGATATTATGGATGACTGGTTACGGAGGGACCGTTTTGTTTTTGTGGGTTGGTCCGGTCTATTGCTCTTTCCTTGCGCCTATTTTGCCGTGGGGGGTTGGTTCACAGGTACCACCTTTGTAACTTCATGGTATACTCATGGATTGGCAAGTTCCTATTTGGAAGGTTGTAACTTCTTAACTGCAGCAGTCTCTACTCCTGCTAATAGTTTAGCACACTCTTTGTTGTTACTGTGGGGTCCTGAAGCACAGGGAGATTTGACCCGTTGGTGTCAATTAGGTGGTCTGTGGACTTTTGTTGCTCTTCACGGTGCTTTCGGATTAATAGGTTTTATGTTACGTCAATTTGAACTTGCTCGATCTGTTCAATTGCGGCCTTATAATGCAATCGCATTCTCCGGTCCAATTGCTGTTTTTGTTTCTGTATTCCTGATTTATCCACTGGGCCAGTCTGGTTGGTTCTTTGCGCCTAGTTTTGGTGTAGCAGCTATATTTCGATTCATTCTCTTTTTCCAAGGGTTTCATAATTGGACATTAAACCCATTTCATATGATGGGAGTTGCTGGTGTATTGGGCGCTGCCCTACTATGCGCTATTCATGGCGCTACCGTAGAAAATACCTTATTTGAAGATGGTGATGGCGCAAATACATTCCGTGCTTTTAACCCAACCCAAGCAGAAGAAACTTATTCAATGGTTACTGCTAACCGCTTTTGGTCCCAAATCTTTGGGGTTGCTTTTTCCAATAAACGTTGGTTACATTTCTTTATGTTATTTGTACCAGTAACTGGTTTATGGATGAGTGCTCTTGGAGTAGTCGGTCTGGCCCTGAACCTACGTGCCTATGACTTTGTTTCTCAAGAAATCCGCGCAGCGGAAGATCCTGAATTTGAGACTTTCTACACCAAAAATATTCTCTTAAACGAAGGTATTCGTGCGTGGATGGCGGCTCAAGATCAGCCTCATGAAAACCTTATATTCCCTGAGGAGGTTCTACCACGTGGAAACGCTCTTTAATGGAACTTTACCTTTAACTGGTCGTGACCAAGAAACGACTGGTTTTGCTTGGTGGGCCGGGAATGCCCGACTTATCAATTTATCCGGTAAACTACTGGGGGCCCATGTAGCCCATGCCGGATTAATAGTATTCTGGGCCGGAGCAATGAACCTATTTGAAGTTGCTCATTTCGTACCCGAGAAGCCCATGTATGAACAAGGCTTAATTTTACTTCCCCATCTAGCTACTCTAGGTTGGGGGGTAGGTCCTGGAGGGGAAGTTATCGACACCTTTCCATACTTTGTATCTGGAGTACTTCACTTAATTTCCTCTGCAGTATTGGGCTTTGGCGGTATTTATCATGCACTTCTGGGACCTGAGACTCTTGAAGAATCTTTTCCATTCTTTGGTTATGTATGGAAAGATAGAAATAAAATGACTACTATTTTAGGTATTCACTTAATTTTGTTAGGTATAGGGGCTTTTCTTCTAATATTGAAGGCTTTTTATTTTGGGGGTATATATGATACCTGGGCTCCAGGAGGGGGAGATGTAAGAAAAATTACCAACTTAACCCTTAGTCCAAGCATTATATTTGGTTATTTACTAAAATCGCCTTTTGGGGGAGAAGGTTGGATTGTTAGTGTGGACGATTTGGAAGATATAATTGGGGGACATGTATGGTTGGGTTCCATTTGTATACTTGGTGGAATCTGGCATATCTTAACCAAACCCTTTGCATGGGCTCGGCGTGCACTAGTATGGTCTGGGGAAGCTTACTTATCTTATAGTTTAGGTGCTTTAGCCGTTTTTGGTTTTATAGCTTGTTGCTTTGTCTGGTTTAATAATACTGCTTATCCTAGTGAGTTTTATGGTCCCACTGGACCGGAAGCTTCTCAAGCTCAAGCATTTACTTTTCTAGTTAGAGACCAACGTCTTGGAGCTAATGTAGGCTCCGCTCAAGGGCCTACCGGTTTAGGTAAATATCTAATGCGTTCTCCGACCGGAGAAGTCATTTTTGGAGGAGAAACTATGCGTTTTTGGGATCTGCGTGCTCCCTGGTTAGAACCTCTAAGAGGTCCTAATGGTTTGGACTTGAGTAGACTGAAAAAAGATATACAGCCTTGGCAAGAACGTCGTTCCGCAGAATATATGACTCATGCTCCTTTAGGTTCTTTAAATTCCGTGGGTGGCGTAGCTACAGAAATTAATGCAGTCAATTATGTCTCTCCTAGAAGTTGGTTAGCTACTTCTCATTTTGTTCTAGGATTCTTCCTATTCGTAGGTCATTTATGGCACGCGGGAAGAGCTCGCGCAGCTGCCGCAGGATTTGAAAAAGGAATTGATAGAGATTTGGAGCCTGTTCTTTCCATGACTCCTCTTAATTGAGACATGAAATCCAATGCTTGACGTAAGAATCACTTTGATTTTAGTATACATATTGAGTTGAGTCGAGGAGATCATATTGAAAAAATATTTTCTTTTTCAATTCATTTATATCTAATCTTTTTTCGGGCTCGGCTATATCACCACTTAGCCGAGCCCGAAAAAACCGAGCCAACTTAAATCAATTTAAATCAATAAAAGAAAAAAATCCATTCGCCAAGAAAAAGGAGAGAGGGGGATTCGAACCCTCGATAGTTCTTTGTTTGGAACTATACCGGTTTTCAAGACCGGAGCTATCAACCACTCAGCCATCTCTCCAAAAGCTAATTTCTATTTTATCTTTATTCCACTCAAGAGAACATGACCATACAAATTAATACCCTTTTCTCTATGATAAAGATATCCAGTGTGAATCTATTGGTCTAGTTCTCTATCCATATATATTATATATTATATATTCATGATCCAGCATGCTCTTTTGTGAAGTAAAAAAAAAAAAAAACTACCCCTCGATTCATGCCTCAATAAGGAGTGTCATCTAAAATCAATGGATTCATGATAAAACCCCCCATAATGAGAATGTGTTTTTTATTTATTTTTGGAAGGGGTCAAATCAAAAGAAAAGGGGTTGGGGGATCAAATGGTATAGTTCTTTTGTTGGTAAATTAGAGGATTATAAACATGACTATTGCGTTTCAATTAGCTGTTTTTGCATTAATTGTTACTTCATCCATTTTATTAATTAGTGTACCTGTTGTATTTGCTTCTCCTGATGGTTGGTCAAGTAACAAAAATGTTGTCTTTTCCGCTACATCCTTATGGATTGGATTAGTATTTCTAGTGGGTATTCTGAATTCTCTCATCTCTTGAAACTATTCATTCTAGATCAAAAAACGAAATGACCCCTCCCCCCGAATTCTTTCGGGTTGTGAGGCACATGAAAATGGAATATATAAGACCCCACCAATAAAGAAAACGAAAACATTAATAATGGGAATTATTAATGGGAGGGGTCAAACTTCTTCTATTGGAAAAAGCTTATATCTTATACTTAATATGATATACATAGTAAAACGAAAAACTTGAAGATTAAAATATTCATATTATTTTCTGAATTTCATATTCTTTTCGGAATCGAAAATAAAATAGATATATAGATCATAGATAAATATCTATAATCTGCACAATTTGACATCAAAGTAACATGCTGGTGTCAGACAACTTCATCATTTTTTTATGCCAGTAGGTGTTCCAAAGGTAGCCTTTCAAATTCCTGGCGAGGATGAAGCTACTTGGGTTGACTTATACCATCAACTTTTTTACGACAGAATCCTTTTTTTAGGGCAAGAGATTGAGAGTGAAATAGCAAATCAAGTTGCTGGTATGATGATATATCTCAGTTTAGATATAAATAAATACATAGAGAAAAGAGAAATAAATAGAATAGAAAAAACAATCGATAAAAAAAATACATCAAATTTTTTTAATTTTTTTAAATAAAGGGGGATATATGAATCAAACGAAGAAAAATGACTTAGACATTTGGATTTTAGAATTGCGAGACATTTTTAGAGAGAGCAAGAATTCTTCCTATTTCTCAGATTCCTGGACACAATTCCATTCAGTCATATCTGTCATTCACATTTTTTTCCATCAAGAGAGTTTTATCAAACTCTTAGACTCCAGAATTTGGAGTATCCTAGTTTCACGCGGTTTAACAAGATATTTCACGATCAAGAATTTTGTCTTATTTCTACTAGCGATCCTTATATATCGTATTAACAATCGAAAGATGATCGAAAAAAAAAATATTTATTTGACAGGGCTTCTTCCTATACAAATCAATTCCATTGGATCCGGGAATGATCCATTGGAAGACTCAAAAGATTCGTTCAATATCAATAGGTTGGTCATGACTAGGTTGATTGTTCCGCTCCTGTCTGGTCCAAAAGAAAAAAATATATCTGAGAGAGATAATTGCTCTTTTTTCGGCGACAGATGGTCAGAACTTCATCTGGATTTGAATCCTACTGAGAAGTCCGCTCAAGATATAAAATTATTTAAAAAAGAAGAAGATGTTTCTTTTGTTCTTTCGAGGCAATCGGAAAATAAAGAAATAGCCAATATAGTTAAGATAATCATGTATTTACAAAATAATGTCTCAATTCATCCTATTTCATCCGATAGAGGATGTGATAGGGTTGCAAAGGAGAAACTTTTGACAGTTCCAAATCATATTTCATTCTTGAACAAAAAGCTAGTTTTTGGTTTATTTGATCTATTCCATGACCAGAATAGGGGGGGGGGGTACTTGTTACATCGCGATTTTCAATCAGAAGAGAGATTTCAAGAAATGGCAAATCTATTCAATCTCTCAATAACTAAGCCGGATCTGGTGTATCATAATGGATTCTCTTTTTCTATTGATTTGTCGAAAATTGATGATAAACAATTTGTAAATCAAGTATTCAACTCCAGGGATGAATCAAAAAAGAAATCTTTATTGGTTCTGCCTCGGCTTTTTTACGAAGCGAATGAATCTTTTTATCCAAAGATCATAAAAAAATGGGTCCAGACCTCTTGTGGGAATTCTTTTCAAGGTAATCGATTCAATCGCAACTTAGAATATGTAATTAAAAGGTATGAAAATGATATTCATAATCATATACCTCTAAGGAAACACATGATCAATCAACGTTTCTCAAATTGGAAAAAGAGTCAGAAGAAATGCTTTGATCCTCTTCTTTTTATTTATCGAACCGAGAGATCCGTGAATAAGGATCCAAATACAGATAAATACAAATGGTCCAAGGGGAGCAAGAATTTCCAGGAACATTTGGACCATTTCATTTCTGAGGGGGTGCACGTAGCACATTAACCAAGGCCCACACGCATAATGCACAAAACTAGTTAATCAGAATTAAAAGGAAAAAACGTCACACAGTGGGAATCGAACCGAGGTTCCTTGGGTTAACTTCATTTACGCCTGGACACGTGGCACGCTACGGGCGCTTGGATGCGCGGAAGATGTCAACCATGAGTGGCGATCGGATGGAGCACGTTCGTCTTCTTCCTTGGACTCGCCGGAACAGTTCCGGCCGGCCTCTCCTCCACCATGCTCGCCGGACCACCAACAACAACCACAACTTCCACAAAACTCAACCGTTTCGCATGAAATTTACGTCAAAATTCATCTACTTCTCGCGAGGATTCCAAACCCATCAACAAAAATCATTAATAATGCAAGATCAAAGAGAAACGAATCAAACAAAGTTTGACACCAAAAACTCAAATTCATCAAAACTTCTCCAAATTAATTCTAAACTCATCCTTATGTCATGGAGGTTATAGATCAAGCAAAAACTAAGCAAAATCATGCCGAAATAGTCCATACAAAATCTCACAAGTTTGGAGCTCCAAATTTCGAACGTCATAAACATCAACAATTATAATCCAGAATCGATCTACATGCTTCAAGGAGTGCAAAGAAACAAAAATGGCAAAGAATCATCAAGTATTAAGAGAGATATGTTGAAATTCAAGTACCTAGTGGAGAACTTCCACTGAGCCTTTAATCCTTGATAAAGCTTCGCAAAACTCTCTAGAATCGTTCACTGATCTTCAATAAAGCTTTCTCAATTCACAATTTGGCTTGAAACGATCTAGATCTTAGAATTCACTTTTTGAGTTTTCTTCACTTTTTCAAGCTTGTTCTTAATCAATTCTGCTCCAATTTCGAAAACTTATAATTTGTGAAGGTTAGAAATCTTATATACAATGGATATTGATCAAGAGAAAGCCCAATCCTTGTCTCTAGGCCCAAAATGAATTTTCAAAATTTCACCACTTTTTGCTCTTGAGTGTACACGAAACTGGCAATGTTTTGACTCCAAAATGATTCAATTTAACTAATAACAGCATGTGGAGTGTGAATGGCTGGGATTTGATCCTTGTATTTAATCCAATGGCTATTTTTGATTGTGTAACTTCATGGTGAAGTAATCTAAATGACAACTCCCAAAACTTGGCCTATGCTCAAAATTCTGCCAATACCAATGTTCTTAAAATGTGATTTCCATTCAAAAAATGTACTCACATGACATGTTTTGCTCCTCTAACTCAAAAAGTCAATTTTCCCTCCTTGATCCATTTGAAAAATTCCCTTTTTTAGGCCATTTTAAGTGACTTTTTGCTACAAGCCTAACCAATCCCAAATGATCACTTGGTTGCACTTAAAATCGTGTTTTGAGCAACTTTCATGTTGAACAAAAATCCATTTGACAAGTGCAAGTTGGGGATTTTGACCTATGATTGAAAATGACCTATAATCTCACTTTCCCAAAATACCCTTGACTTGTAAACCTCATAACTTGAGTTCTACAAATCAGATGGATAACTTCTAGTACAATTTAGAAATCTAAGATCATGAGGAACAACTTTCATGTTGGCCAAAAGTTCAGTTGAAACCTCCTTCTAGGTCAAAAATAGCTTTGAAGTCAGATGATTTTCACAGACAAATTTCAGTGGCATCTAAGGACTTGTAACTTGTCTGAGCCATAACTTGAGTTCTATAAATCCAATGGAGGACTTCTAGTATTCAAATTAAAGGTATTGAGATGCTCTACAAGTTTCATGTTGGCCAAAGATCCATTTGAAACTTGTATCTTGACTTATGTGGTCTTGAAGTTAGGCACTAAATAGGGGATTTTACACTGAAACCCTAACTTAGCAACTTCCCACACTCTTGATTCTTCTTGATTTGATCTTGGCACAACACCACAAATGTCCTATCACATCATTTCATGAACTCCATAACCTAAAATTAGGCTTTTATACTCTTCAACTGCTCAATTAATTTAGGATTAACCCAGATGAAACCCTAATTGCTTGCACCTCAACTGTGGCCCTTGCACTTGACATAATGACTTGATTAATCTCTCCCATGGCCCTCTTGGCATTCTATGAGCTCCATACACATCCTCTTCTCACATTCAACAATTCAT